GGCCAGCTGATTGGATTATCTTCCTGAGGAGGATCTTGTTTGGTTGCTGTGTTTATTTGTGCCTTGGGTTTGTTTGGTCTCCACATGCAAGGACTGTACAGGACTGAACTGCTCTGCTCACTGTATATATAAGATATATATGAACACACAAAGACTTTTCTTAACGAATAAAGTATATTTTTGAAACTGGGGATGTTTTCTGATGTGACCTTCCGGAGCGTGAGGCATTGCAAACTCCTTCTGAAGGTATTTGAGGAAAAAGGAGGTGAAAGCCTCCTCCTTGCTGTACCTGCAGTGTTGTTGTTCTTCCTCCTTGCACAGTGCATTCAGCTGGTAGCCCATCCATATCTATAAAGCGCTGCCTGCACCTGCCCTGATCTTCCTGGGAAGAACTGACCTCCCGGGAATTTGGGAAGGCAGCAGTACTGATGTGACGGGCCCGTTCAGTATCTGGATGAGCACGTGACCCTGAAAGTGAGCGCCAATGGGAGCATCCTCCAGCTTCCACCCAGCTTTGCAACCGGAGGGAGTTGAGGTACATGGGGCAGGGTATTGGTGTTGAACCTGTGGGGTGGCCAGGGCACATAGCAGTGGGTTGCAAGGTGGCCCTCTGCAAGAACCATAAACAGGAGAAGGCTCCTGGCCAAGGGCTGTTAAGATTCCAAGAGCTGCAACCTGTTTTGGGGGAAGCAGGCCACCTCTACAAGGCCTGCCCAAGAAGAGGGGGGTGGTCTATATACGCTCAGGTGGCTGGAAGGGACAACATGAGCCGCGGCCCCCCACAGGATGGTAAGGTGCCACATCAGACAGAGCTGCTGTTGTGCTATGCACCTTGTTCGAAGCATCGCTGTTCCCATTTGCCCGGAGCTACTGAGTGATGGGTACCTCACGGTTCCCTACCTCTTAAGGTTGGGTTTCACCAAGCGCCTTGGGATGCCTGGCATTTCTGGGCTCGTTTGGTGGGGGTGAGGGTGGGGGGTGGGGGTGCGGTATGTTCCTCTCTTTCTACCCTGTGGTGCTACATCTCTCTGTTTTTGTTTTTGCTGTTGATGGCCACCCATCTGCACATCTTCGTTATTAGGAGGACATGCCTGGTGCGTCCATCATGTAGCTACCTCTTTCCATTTTACTGAAGACCTATTGGGGCTCGACGTGATTTCCTTTTGTGGGTGTTCTTCGTCTTTTCCCACTCCCCTGACTCCTTCCGTTTTCTCCTCCCCCTCCGTCGCCCCCGGCTTCTCAGGTCGGGGGTTGAGACAGGTTTGTTGTCCCACTGCCACTGTCCTCCTTTCCTGCCTCACTGGCCCTTTCCCTCCCCCACCCCGGGTGACTTGTCTCAGAGCACCTGGAGGCTGGCACCTTACCATCCTATGGGGGGGCGCGGATCATGTTGTCACTTCCAGCCACCTGAGCGTAAAAAGCAGTCCAAACATTGAAGGCAGGCTTAAAGAAACAGCTGCACTCGATACCAAACTGTCCCAATTCCTGTTTGATTATAGGACCATCCCTCACCCAACTACAGGGACAGCTCCAACAGAGTGGCTAATGGGGAGAAGGCTCAGCACCAGGTTAAACCTGGACCAGAGGGGTAGGGAGGAAGGGCATCAGGAACGCCAATGCCAGGCACAAGACTCCTCTAAGCGAGAAAGGCAGTTTAGTTCAGGTGCGAAGTTTGGTGTCAAAACGACGGGGATAGTCCTGCGTGAGTAAGAGGCATGGTCAAGGTGAGTTTGGATCCCGTGACAAACAAAGTTCGAGCAGGAGAGGTGGCCCTGAACAAGCATGCAACCTCGCAAACAGAGCAGAAGCAAATCATACCCAGCCCCTGAGAACATTTGCAAAACGGTCAGAATGCGTGCTTTCTCCTCCCCCCACCCCACTCTGCTTAGTGTGGAAGAAGCTCTGAGGACGAGATGGATATGTTAGATATCACAGCCTTGACGTCATTATCGCAGGATGAAGAAGATGAATTTCTTCCAAGATGCTGCAGGCACAAGAGGCAGGATATGGTCTGGCACATGCCACCAGTATCAGAGACAGAATCGGGGGAACTAGACCCGGTATAAAAGTACCCCAGGAGAAGCTACAGAAAAAAACATAGATCTATCTCCCAGGACTTAGAGGGGGAGAAATGTTGTGATTGGAATGACCTTATTGAATATGAGTTCCCCGATTGGGGCTGCTTACCTGGTCCAATCAGGGAGCCCTGGCTGATAGGTATAAACAGGAGTGGTAGGGGTTCTGGTCACTCTAGGAGCCCCGTCTGAGCTAGCTGGGTCAGTGGTACGCACCACGAACGTGTAAATAAAAGGTGACTTAGTGACGGGATACCAGGGGAGTTAATTTAGTTCCTTTATTCAAGAGAGTCTGAATAGACTGGGACTATTTTCCCTGGAGCGTCGGAGGCTGAGGGGTGACCTTATAGAGGTTTATAAAATCATGAGGGGCATGGATAGGGAAAAA